TGTGAGCATGCTGACACTCACAAAGCCACATGGGTGTGAGCATGCTGGCATTCACAGACTTGGTTCTCAAATCTGGTGCCAGCAGCTCTGCTTAGACTCGAGCATGGGCACCTGCACTCCACGCACTCTACAAAGTAGCATCATTCCCCAGAGTGCCTGAGGAGACTCAGGGCACAAGGCACTACAGACGGTCAGTAAGCATCACTCTGGTCCTGGTTATGTTAGCATCAGCTATTCCTCATGTACTGAATCTATGCATGGCCAATTCCCAGCATTCATGGGTACACTGAAATTTCTTCATGCTAAAACCAGCCTAAGTATAACACAGAGAGTCAAAGGCACATAGGTAGCTAGCAGGCAGGGCAAACCTGTAATCCCAGAACCCAGAGGCTGAGGCAGGAGGATGGTGACTTTGAGACCAGCCTGGGCTACATAGCTAAAACTTGTCTCAAAATATGTATGGTTGAAAGATGATTAGCAAAATTGCAAATCTATGGAACTCTTTGACCTTGTACCCCACTTGCAGGAATGTATCCTACAGACATGCTGACACACATGTGGAATAGTACTCACTACTAAGATTCACTTTTAAAATTAAAACAGAACAATTTTTCCTCGTGAAAGGTATTTTGTTACCAGCCTATGGCTTCCTATACAGATCTAGAAAGATTTCTAAGATGTGCCATGGAATGGGAAAAGCAAGGTGGGTATCAGTGTGTGTGCTGCCACACTTTGGGTAAAAATAAGAGGGAAATAACTGTTCACACGTACACTCATGTAACTCAATATCAGAATAACCAGGAATCAGTAACAGTGACTGCTTCAGGGACAAATTAATACACAAGTGACTACTTCTCGGGCACCTTTAAAATTTTCACTTATGTGTAATGCACCCATAAGAAGTTATGTGTATAATAAATGTATTTAAGCATAAACACACAAACTAAACATGAACGTATAATCAGACTCAGAAAATGAGGTATGATAGTGTCCATCCTAAAGACACGCCAAGGTTTCCCCCAGACACCACGCACCCCAACAAAAGTGGTCACTTCTAGCAGGACAAGTTCCTTTTTCTACTTTTATGCTTTCTATAAACAGAACTATATGACACATACAATGTACACACTTTGGAGTCTGACTTGACTTAATTGTCTGAAGAGTCAATGATTCTGTAGTGAGTAGACGTGACTAGGTGCCTATCAC